GTCTAATCAGCATAAAAGAAAGGATTAGTAAAATGAAACAAATACACTAGTTGTGTTCCTTAAAAACCTGTTGACTCCCTTAAAATCATAGGGGAAAGTTTAATTCTAGTTGATCACATTCTGATAGATTTTGATATACAGTACTTGAACACCAGTCCAACAGCCTTTCAGTTTTATAAAACTGAGAAACTGGCAGCTATAAGTTATAGGTATTTGGACTAAATCTGTTTTTTTTTTTTTTTTTTTTAAACACTAAGATTCCTCAACCAGTATGAAAGTACAAAATGAAAAACATTGTGAAACTTCCTGCATGAGTCACTGGATGTCAAGAACAAATAGGTTCACTCAGTACACAAACACTAATGTGAAATCAGAGAAAAAGAAAACATTTGCCTTTAAGATCGTAGAGAAGAGCTATACTCTCCTTCACTGCCCCTTTGATTTCTCAGGTCAGGGGATTTTGCCTACCTCCACCTGAACAAAGTTTCCTTTGGAGTAGAGAGGAAAGGTGTGTCAGACTAAAGTGGGGAGATTAAAATAGCAGTTGCTATGGGGTTGAACTCAATGTGGAAACCACAGATCCTATTACCACAATTAGGGGATGAACTGAAATCAACATAAGCAAACCTGGAGTGTTGAGGACAGGACAATCGGGAATATTTAAAATGCTAATGAGCTTCTTGTTTTTAAAAATGTTTCAAAAACGAATTGGCAGTGGTTTGATTCTTCTAGTCTAATCTGCAGATTCAAATTTCAGGGGAAATTCAGGGAACTCATTACATTGTTGTGTTGAAAGGGATGGCCCTGGAGTAGATTTCCTGGATTCAAATCCCAGCTCTGCCCACTAAGCTGTGTGAGCTTAGGCCAGGCATGAAATTTTTAAGACTCAGTTTCTTTTTTCTGAAAAATAAGGATAATAAGACCCTTTTAGATAATTGTTATGAGGATTAAATAAAGTAATGCATCTCAGGTTGTTAGCACAGGCTTTGCTCATAGTATTTCACCTAAACATCATTAAAAGCCTTCCAAGATTCCCTTGCATCAGGAAGCAAGTAGTCCTGGATGCTTTTTTCCTGGCTGGGGCAGGGCAGGGGAGCACAGTCCTGCTCTTCCACACTCCCCTTTATGCTAATCTTTCCCCTTCACCCTTGACCCTTCTCCTCCCTCATTTGGGTCTTATCTGAGAGCTCAGGGCTTTGCTTTGAGCTTGAGGAAAAGTAATGCATGGAAGAGTAACTTATTTTCTTTTCCTAAATTCTACTAAATAAAACTTTAGGAGAGTGGAGGATTTTTCTAGACTGTAATGTTAATTCATTACAGAAAATTGGAGTAAGATCCTGTAGGGGTACTTGCAGCCTCTCATGGTGTGTGCATGCATGTGCACGTGTGTGTGGGACAGGTGATGGTAGGGATGATGGCTGTGGTGACAGAGAATGAAAATTATGAGCTCCGTATGCAGCACCTTGACTGACATTCCACTTTGATTTTGGGAGGAGTTCCAGGATCTTTTGAGCTCCCGGAAGTGAAATGCATTATATACATTCATCATGATCATGGCTCTTTTGTGATCCCTGAACAATAAATGCATGAAGAGCTCTTGAATGAATTCCTAATTGAAGTAGGTGTTGAGTAATGGCTTTTCCATTTGCTTCTAGCTTCCTCCAGGTTGCCAGCCCTCTCCTTATTTATCAGCTTTTATTTTGTTTCTGAAATCATGGTAACACCTATCAAGGCTGCAGCTGTCCAGCTGTACAGGGCATTTAATGCCTGGTCACGGAGTCTGAATCCAACCTAAAGTCTGCTTGTTAAGCTATTAGCCCTGTCCTGGTGGCATCTGCCTGGAGGACAGCCTTTTTATTTCTTTTCTAATTCTCACAATTAGTCCAGTGTGGGATATTATGGTCCTCCCCGTTTAGCCAACTGATGCACTTCCCTCTCTGAGGGTAATACTGAAGCACACACAGGATATTGGAACGCACCACCCAGCTGAGCTCAAACACATATTGCATAAAGCTGCAAATCCATTAATATACTTTCAGACTCATGCACTGCTTCTCCTTTTTCTTATCCCAGAAGAGAAGTATTCTTAGTTCCAAATGCCAGAACTACTGTCATTCAAAACTTCTCAGTCATTTTCTTTGGAACACCGATGAGTCAAAACCAGAATTAAACAAAACTAGAAAATATTTTAAAAGTAACGTTTAATGAGTACACATTTACAAAATCCATCATCCCTTAACCTGGGGAAAACATACAAAAATAAGTATAAACTTAATAAAAATTTTCCTAGAATTCAGGAAACATACCAGCAGTAAAGAAATTTAGTTGAACTTTTTTTTTATGTAGGTAGGACAATTGGGATCTTGATAAAGGAATACAGTTCATTCAAAGCACTTATTTCTATCTGTTGCAAATGCATTCTTTTCACCTTAAATAAACTGGAGGAGTCATCTGTGCTCAGATGGTCAAACTGATTTGATGGTTTTGGGAGGAGAGAGTGGGGTTGGGAGGGATGGAAGAACACTGGCTTTCTCTGGGCAGCTGGAGAGGCTTGGAGCCCTTGTGGTAGGGGCAAAGGTCAAGCCTGGCAATGCAGCTGTTATGCCAAAACCATCAGGGCACTTTTCTACTTCAGCCTTGATGGATGGCTTTTATTAAGTACTCACGTAGAGCATTTTTAGTAGGCTATAAAATAGAGTTCATTTTTTCTACAGGTGGGTTTTTAACCTTGGTATGTCATTTTCTATTTTTAGTGATGGACTATGACCCAGTACAAACATATTACTCTTTTACTGAAAAGGTGCATGGTTAACTCCAAAGGCTATTCTAGACTAGCATGGATGATTCTTAACCTATAACAACTAATTCTCTAGTGAAAGAGGAAGCTCCAGTTCCAGCACACTTGGCTGTTTTGCATGACATGGATGAGTAGTGACATTTTCTCTGTCTTTTCTGCCGGTGCTCTGCTCAGTCTTCCAGGTGTGTTATCCCTGCTTGGGTTGGTTAGGAATAAATTGAAGGAGCATATGTTCTGTGTACCTTTTCAGATATTTATCAGTAAACACAAACTGAAATAAAAACCAAAATCTATACTGGTATGATGAAACCAACAATCTCATCCAATGCTAACTGTATCAATATGGTCACTAGAAATAAATTGGCAATATATAGCAAATGTTAGTAAAAGTAAAAGTACTTTAATTTTGTAATCCCAATTCTTGACAAGTGTTCTAGGAAATAATTGAAAATATGAAAAATACATTATCAGTGTAAAGATATTCCCTGAAATGTTATTTGTTTTAGTAAAAAGTGGATATGGCCTACATGTGAAATTAGCTCAGTGGTTAAAAAATGCCTATTTGGTGTGATATTATGCAGCCATTATATAAATATATATACCAAGTAAGAGAACAAAGCCTCTAACAAGTGAAAAAGGAAGGATATAAAATTTAATATATAATATAGATAGAATTATTTCCAAAAAGTTTTACCAAAAAAATCATGGATTGTGAATAATGTTTTAATATATTTTAATCATTTTGTATAATGTCATGTATAATATGTTATAATAAAAGTAAAAAAAAAAAGGCCTTTGTAAAGCAGGCAGAAAAATGTCAGACCCAGTGCCTTTTAGTTGCTTTAGTATGTGGGAAGATTGTGCATAAGGCTCCTTTTAGCTCCATGCTTGAGCTAGGAAGGCTAATCCTGCTGAAGCTCATCTTGGAAACGGCACTATAAGCATAGAAAAACAGTGACTACCATCTTACATTCTAGCAAGAATTGAGATAAAGAATCTAGAAAAAAATTGAGAAAGGACCAAGTCTCATATAGCAACTACTGCTTACACCTTTCTGCGTTGTGACTTTCCGTAATTCTCTCTCATGTATTCATGGGTCAAATTTATACCTTCAGATTATTCATTTAATTTTACTGCTTAAAATTATAATAGACTAAGGCAGATTATAGAAACTACTTCTTCATACTAGAAATTAATTTCCTAGATGATTAATATTGAACAATATTTGGAACATATAATTTACAAAGCATATTACAATACCTAAATAATATCAAATCTAATAAGTTGCAACTTTACAATATTTATTTAGCTTGCTATCTAAAATTCTTGTCTATTTGAAGTTTTTGTGCAAGGGCTGTTATCAAACCTTCTTTGCTTATCACATGATGAAAAAATCCAAATGGATATCCCTCCATTTTTACTCAATCTTTCCTACACCTGTTCCTTATAGAGGAAGGATCTTATATGACAACTCTATAAATTTGCATGTATCCAGGGCATAGTTACTTCTAATCAATTGTGATATTTTTGTTGTGTTATAAAATAGTTCTCCACAGTAGACATTCATATTGGTAAAAGCAAAATCAAGGGGTACATCAAACTACAGAATCCATTATGGTCATATTTATGATCATTTTTACAAACAAAAAACAAACAAAAATATCTCATTCCTTCTACTTCATTTGGCCCTCTTCTTCAGACATACTTAATAAAGCCTTTATCAGTGGCCACCATTGTACTGTTCTCTTCCTCACTTAACTCAGCCCTCAAAGCAGAGAAGGAAGTTGCATGTACTTCTCCGGGATTTTGCAAGACATTACTTCACACATGTTGCTCGCAAGAAAGAAGCTTTTTTTTTTTTTTGGCAGCCAGCAGGTTCAGGGATCTTAACCTGTGACTTTGGTATTACAAGGCTGTGCTCTAACCAACTGAGCTAACTGGCCAGCCCACAAAGAAGCTTCTCAATCTTGGCCCCATGGCCTCTGGGAAAAGAGGCAGGGATCTGCACTGACTCATCATTAACCTGCGATAAAATGGTGTTCGTCTCCAACCTGCCAATTTCTCAAAGTCAGGCAATGTTTCTTCCTGTGTTCATAAATTTCTGACCATGGTGGGAGAAAAAACTTCCTTAAGTGTACCCACTATTCTTTTATAAACATTTAATACTTTTATAAACTTTTATAAACATTTAGGAGTTCAGAAGTCCAGGTAAATTGAACTTTACTTCACATATATGTTTTTCCATTCAATGCTGATTTCGAGTATTTTGAGCTCCTTTCCCAGCCCTGGCGGATCCGTGTAAGAGTCCTGTCTATGCACGGCATGATGAGGATAAACTTGATCACCAGCACAGTGCAAGGAATGATCAGGGCTAATATGTAGGCTGAAGGAAGATACCATTTGAGAACTGAAGGGCTGAGGAACTTCTTTCCGCCATATACCAGGGTGTGGGCTGTGCACAAGATCAGGGTCAAATAACCCAGTTTGGACTATAAGCAAGAAACAAAAAATGCACATTAACATTATTTACATCTAAGCCAAGGAAGGATATTTGTCAACAACCACAAACATTTGAAACCTGTAATTTTTTTATGCTAAAATCAATCTTTACCCTTTAATTAATAGACAATACAAATGACAACAATAAAAAAGAGGAAAAAAATGTGGCTGATTTCTCATTAGCAAATATACCACGACATTGATTTACAAGCCATTCTCAGGCCTGTGTGAAGTCATAAAACTTTACTGAAGTACACAGAAAAGGACATGCTTGAAAACTAACAAACCAAATCCTTTTATTGGAAGAAGTGGTAAAATAAAGATCATAATGACACAGATTGAGGGCATTTCAAACTAAAAGAAGCATAGCACCTTACCAAAAAAGTCTCTTATGTATTAAAGGAGAGACAAAATAACTTTTAAAAAAATGGAGGGGCTTTTCAAGTCAGATATGAACTTCTTATTATATATATTAATTTAAACTTTAAAATGAATCAAATGCAGATATAAACAACATAATATCCAAATAAAAGAATTATTTAAGTGCTATTTTAAACAACAAAATAAAGATGATTTAAAAGAAAAATGAGCAAGGAATAAAAAATAATTTTACATTTATTATTTATTTATTCATTTATCTATTGAAACATAATCGATTATATAAATCTGTGGGGTACAGAGTTGAATATCAGTACCTGTGTGCAAGATGTGATGCTCAAATCAGGATAGTTAGTATATCCAACATTACACAATGTAATAACTTTTGTGGCCCTTTACCAATCTCTTGCTAACCCTTCTCCTCTTCCCCCTTTCCCACTGAAATCTGTAATATTTAGGACACTGTGCTAAGTACTGAAAAAAGCTTACAAATGAAATGGTAGCTTCATCTTAACATGGCTGGATGGAAAAGTTTCCCAGGAATAAACTCTTCTCAGTTTGAATAAATAATGTACCTTGCCTCTGTACCTAATGGTAAAACTCTTTTATCACCTTTTCTAGAGGTCAGAGATGAATAAGGCACATCATGACCTCAAGAAGCACCACATTAGTATATGCTACTGACTAAAAGCAGACGCTAGCTAATTTCTATACCAATAAGGAGCAATTAGCAAACTTGTCTATTTGTTTTGGTCTAAACACAATGTTTATTTCTGTCCTAATGGGTTAAATAAAAATGTTATCATCATCAGAAAATGTAGACTGCATTTGGTCCCTGGGAGTAACTATAAAGACTTGAAATTCAAATAGTTCTATAAAATTCAAACCTAATTTCAATGACTAATGGTCTATTTTATTATACTGGTTCACAATGAGCATGCATCAGAATCATCTGGAGAGCTTATTAAAACGAGTTGCTGAGCCACACCTCCAGAGCTTCTGATTCAGTAGGTCTGGTTGTGGCCTGGGGCTTTGTGTATCTAACATGTTCCCAGGGGATGCTGCTGTTGCTGGTCTGGTGCCATATTTTGTAGACTACTGGTTTACAAGAATAGTTACTATGTGGCTTTAATGAGGTGTCTGGTGGTTGACATGTGGGAAAAGATGTTTTTCCCTGTTACAGATCGGCAGGAAGTCTGGTGTGATGATGTCTATCAAATCTGGCTTCAAAGGTTTTAAACTTTATTTCAGTATCCTCCTTTCCATAGCAATATGTCCATATTGTGAGGTTAATCTTTAGAAGGTGAAATTTTGTTTGTGGATTTCTTTTCACCTTGCACCTAGTACATCTCCACACAAAGTTTAGTAGTTCTTGACGCTTTTCACTCTATAGTCTTAGCTGTGCCTCTGGGAGCAGTCGGGATTCTTGGTAAGGGATGCCCTATTAGGAAATCAAACCATTACGAAATCTGCCTGAGTTTAAAGTTTTCTAATTTGGATTTTTTTAAATTTGAAGTTTGAAATTTTAATTTGAAGTTTTCCAATTTGAATTTTTAAAACGAGATTGCTAGGGAAGTAATGGAACAAAATGAAAAATTAGGCATGATATGAGAAAACAATGAGAATATTTGAAAAGTTATATTCATTCGCAATATAAAGAGAATTAAATCTTGAAGTCCTTACCTGGACAAATCGGAACTCTCTCCAGTTGACCTTGTTGCTAACTGATGGCAAGGAAGTGATTCCCAAAAGTACAAACAGAAAAAAACCAAGGATTCCCAAAGCTATATATGAATCATTAAGCCAGGCTGTAGAGGTACTAAATGGATCCTCTTTTTTGGATATTGCCTAAGAAAATTATAAGCAATTAAAAAATATTACATTTTTTACAAACTGTCCCACACTTTTAAGGAGACTGAAAAATACCATTGCATAGGTTATTTTCTTAAAGCAAATTGTATGGCATTTCTTAATAATCATTTAAAAGTAATTGTGGAGAAAAATACACTTAGAAATTATATATATGTATATACATATATACATACATACACACACACACACACACACTTTTTTTTTGGTAGAAAAAGTAATTGGCTTTGTTGGGACTTTATTTATAATACTTGACTCCCTGAATTGTGTAAGGAGTTTTAATGTACTCTATAAATCCTAAAACAAAGTAAACATTACATTCTTAACCATATGGCTTTTTGTTCCCAAGCAAAACTAGGTGCTCTCAAATGATTACATCAGAACTCTGTTTTTCTGCTTTATATGTTGATTATTGACACCTACGAAGTTTGGTTCTTTCATGTTTGTTATGTCATAATATGGCATCAAGTCTGTCACACCACAGGTTGAGAGGAATCAGGCAGTCCCTGGTATTGTGACTCTTACCCAAGGAACTAGGCCCTTGTAGTGTAACTCTCTCCTATGCATTTGTTAAGGAAATAATGTAGCATCATCAATCAGTTATTGAGTAGTAATCTTTGAGACTGCACTAAAATCAATCAAAACCCAATATTTCTAAATTAGACCTGACATACCATTTCCTCTGGGAATGCTTTAAGACTCCTTGAGCTGATTCTTTCTGAATCTTCTGACTATGATAAGATAGTATTTGACATTTGTTCAGAATTGTTTAGTTTTCTAGTTATTGAGGAAAACTTCCCAGAAGTCAAACATTAAGGGAGCTATAAGCACCCTTTTGTAAATTTGTTTGTGTTGCTTCGCACATATTTAAGCAGCCCCCTTACTTACAATATAGTTAGTTTTCACTTCCAAAAGGAAGTAGCATGCATAAAAATAGAAGCTTGAAAACACTTTGGTTTACAATTATTGACTACCACCCAAAGAAATTCAAGTAGGTGTCAGGTTTCCAGAGCCCCCAAATCTGTCAGTTTGTTAGTATCCCAGTGAGCCCTGGGAATACAAATCAAGACCCAAGTGAACCTGGGAATATAAATTTTATCCTCAATAGTTGTATGAGATCTTAATTGGATTCATTAAAAACAAAAACCAAAAAAAAGACATGATGTTTCTGATTATAGTTACTTTAAAAAATAAAGATGTTTAGAAGAGTAATTTTCTACAATTGTGAAATGGAATATTATGTAGCAAGATTCCTTTTTTTTTTTGTCTTTTTGTCTTTTTTCGTGACCGGCAACGGATCGCAACCCTCAGTGTCGCGCCCGCACCGGACCGGGACCGGCAACGGGATCGCAACCCTTGGTGTTGTCCCCGCTCCTCGCTCAGCCAGTGAGCGGCCGGTCTGCACGTGGGATCCGAACCCTCGGCGGGAGCGCCGCCGCACTTCCCAAGCGGCGCACTATAGCAGTGCGCCACCGGGCCGGCCCGCAAGATTCCTTTTTGATTTAAGGAGTAGGGGACATGCAGCTAGAGGTGGCCCCTCCCCACTCCTTGGACCCAGAGGGGAGCACCAGCCCATGGGGTCTGACCTGCCGAGGTGAGCCCAGAAGAACTGTGCAGTGCTAGGTGCTCATTCTGCTACCACAGATTCTGGAACAGGGCCCAAAGTGGTTTAACATAACCACAACCACACCTACTGTCAAGCAAAGACAATTCACCACTGCAGTAGCAACCAGGGCCACTCCACAGCCAGCCTCAGTGTAATAGAAGAAGCAAATCCTCTACCAAATGACTAAATGTCAACAAAAAAATACCGGAAGTACAAACAAGCAAGAAGAAATGACACCATCAAAAGAATACAGTAATGCTCTGAAGTCAGACTGCATGGAACAGGGAATCCTTGAAATGTCTGAAAAAGAATTCTATGCAATTATCTTAAGAAAATGTGAAGAAATAAAGGAAGACTCAATTAGAGAACACAATGAAAAAAGAAAAAATATCCAGAATATGAACGAGGAAATCTACAAAGAGATTAATACCTTAAAAAAGAGTGTGGCAGAACTTCTAGAAATGAAAGATTCACTGAATGAAATAAAAAACACAACTGAGAGCTTGAGCAGCAGGGTAGAGCAAGCAGAAGAAAGAGTTTCAGAGCTTGAAGATGGTCTTTTTGAAATAACTCAGGCAGACAAAAAAAAAAAAAAAAAAGGAAAAAAGAATTTAAAATAATGAGGAAAACCTAAGAGAGATAGCAGACAACCTCAAGTGCTCTAACATCTAAATTGTGGGTATTCCTGAAGGGGAAGAGAAAGGAAAAGGTATTGAAAACCTATTCAAGGAAATAGTAACAGAAAACTTCCTAGGTTTAGGGTGAGATACAGACCTTCAGATCCAGGAAGCTCAAAGATCCCCAAACAGATTCAATCCAAAAAGATCCTCCCCAAGACACATTATGGTTAAATTTGCAAAGCTCAAAGACACAGAATTCTACAAGCAGCAAGAGAAAAGCGTCAGGTCACTTATAGGTGCACCCCCATCAAACTAACAGCAGACTTCTCAACCAAAACCCTGCAGGCCAGAAGAAAGTGGAATGATATATTCAAAATACTAAAAGAAAAATATTGCCAGCCAAAAATTCTTTACCCAGTAAGGCTCTCATTCAGAAATGAGGGAGAAATAGTGTATTTCCTAGACAAACAAAAGTTGTATGAGTTCACCACCACATGACCAGCTCTGTAAGAAATTCTCAAGGGAGTCATTCATCTGGAATCTGAATAATGGTGACCACTATCATAAATATACAAGAAAGAGCAAAACCCACCAATAAAACAAAAATGTCAGTAAGAAAGAGAAAGAAGCTAAATCATCCCACCTTAAATTCCCAACTAACATTGAAGAAGAGAAATAAAAGGGGAAATAATGATCAAAAGATATTTAAATCATCTAAACAAGAATCAATTAAATGACAAGAATTAAGAAACACTTGTCAATAACTACCTTAAATGTGAATGGACTAAACTCTCCATTCAAAAGACACAGACTGACTGATTGTATTAAAAAGCTAGACCTAAGTGTATGCTGTCTTCAAGAGACCCACCTCACCTTTAGAGACACACATAGACTAAAAGTGAAGGGATGGAAAAAGATATACCATGCAAATAGAAACCAAAAATGAGATGGAGTAGCTATTCTTATATTGAACAAAATAGACTTTGAACCAAAAAACATAAAAAGAGATAAAGAAGGCCACTATATAATGATAAAGGGATCTATCCAGCCAGAAGACATAACAATCATAAACATGTATGCACCCAGTACTGGAGCACCCAAATATATAAAGCAAACACTCTTAGATGTAAAGAAAGAAATAGGACCTAATACATTAATAGTGGGTGATCTGAACACCCCTCTCTCAGTATGGGACAGATCTTCCAGACAACAAGTCAACAAAGAGACACAGGATTTAATCTATACCTTAGACCAACTGGACTTGGCAGATAAATACAGGACATTTCACCCAACAACTAAAGAATACACTTTCTTCTCATTAGCTCATGGTATGCTCTCCGGGATAGACCACATATTAGGTTGCAAATCTAGTCTCAGCAAATTTTAAAAAATTGAAATCATTCCAACTATCTTTTCAGACCATAATGGACTAAAATTGGAAATAAAAAATAAGCAAAACTCTGGAAGCTATACAAATACATGGAAATTAAATAATAGGCTCCTGAATGACCTATGGGTCCAAGAAGAAATTAAACAGGAAATTAAAAAATTTCTAGAAACTAATGAAAATAAAGATACATCATACTAAAACCTGTGGGATACTGCAAAAGCAGTACTAAGAGGCAAATTTATTGCAATAAATGCTTATATCAAAAGAATGGAAAGACTTCAAATAAACGACCTAACACTATGCCTCAAAGAACTTGGAAAAACAACAACAATCAAAACCTAAAGGTAGTAGACTGAAAGAAATAATTAAGATCAGAGTAGAACTAAATGAAATAGAGACCCAGAAAATGATAGAAAAGATCAACGAAACAAAAAGTTGGTTTTTCGAGAAGATAAATAAAATAGACAAACCATTAGCTAGATTAACCAAAAAAAAAAAAAAAAAAGAGAAGACCCCCAAAAAAACAAAATCAGAAATGAAAAGGGAGACATTACAACCAATACCACAAAAATACAAAGAATCACTAGAGACTATTATAAACAACTGTATGACAACAAATATGAAAATCTGGAAGATATGGATAAGTTTCTAGACACACACAAACTCTCAAGATTGAACCAAGAAGAGATAGAAAACATGAACAGACCAATAACAAGCAAGGAGATTAAAATGGAAATTAGCTATCTTCCATCAAAGAAAAGTCTGGGTCTGGATGATTTTACAGCTGAATTCTATCGAACTTTTAAAGAGGAGTTGATACCAATTCTTCTCAAGCTATTCCAAACAATTGAAACAGATGCTACTCTCCCAAACTCATTCTATGAGGCCAACATAACTCTGATACCAAATCCAGATACAGACACAACAACAAAAAAAGAAAATTATAGGCCAATATCCTTGATGAACCTAGATGCTAAAATCCTCAACAAAATATTAGCAATCAGAATACTGCAACATATTAAAAAAATTATATACTATGATCAAGTGGGATTCATTCCAGAGATGCAAGGACAGTTCAACATATGGAAGTCAATAAATGTGATACATCATATCAACAAACTCAAGGACAAAGACCATATGATATCTCAATAGATGCTGAAAAAGCATTTGACAAAATTCAACATCCCTTCATGATAAGGACTCAACAAATTAGGTATAGAAGGAAAATATCTCAATACAATAAAAGCCATTTATGATAAGCCCACCACCAGTATTACTCTGAATGGGGAAAAATTGAAGGCCTTTCCCCTAAGAACAGGAAGAAGACAAGGATGCCCACTCTCACCACTTCTGTTTAACATAGCACTAGAGGTATTAGCCAGTGCAGTCAGGCAAGAGAAAGAAATAAAGCAAATCCAGATTGGGAAAGATGAAGTCAAACTTTCTCTATTTGCAGATGACATGATACTATATATAGAAAAACCTAAAGACTCTATCAAAAAACTCCTTGAGCTGGTTAATAACTTCAGTAATGTTACAGGATACAAAATAAATGCCCCCAAATCAGTAGCATTTATATATTCAAATAATGAATTAACAAAAAGAAAAATAAAGAAAGTAATCCCATTTACAATTGTCACACACACAAAAATAAGATACCTAGGGATCAATTTAACCAAGGAGGTGAAAGATCTCTACAATGAGAACTACAAACCACTTCTGAAATAAATTAAAGACGTCACAAAACAATGGAAAGATATTCCATGCTCTTGGATTGGAAGAATTAACATTGTGAAAATGTCTATACTACCCCAAGTGATCTACAGATTCAATGCAATCCCCATCAAAATACCAATGACATTCTTCACAGAAATGGAAAAAAATAATCTTACCTTTCATACGGAAAAACAAAAGACCCTGAATAACCAAAGAAATCCTGAGGGGGGGAAAAAAAAAAGCTGGAGGTATAACTCTGCCTTACTTCAAATTATACTACAAAGCTACTGTAACCAAAACAGCATAGTACTGGTATAAAAGTAGACATTCAGACCAGTGGAGTAGAATTGAGAACCCAGAAATCACTCCTCAGGCTTTTAGCCATCTGATATTGGACAAAGGCAACAAAAATCTACATTGGGGAAAAGATTGCCTCTTCAACAAGTGGTGCTGGGAAACTGGATATCCATATGCAGAAGATTGAAACTAGATATGCATCTCTCACCATACACTAAAATCAACTCAAAATGGATTAAAGACTTAAGTATAAGACCTGAAACTATAAAATTACTAAGGGAAAGTAAAGGTGAAACACTTCAGCAATTAGATCTGGGCACAGGCTTTATGAACATGAGCCTGAAAGCACAAAAAGCAGAAGAAAGAATAAACAAATGGGACTACACCAAACTGAAAACTTCTGCACAGCAAAGAAAACAATCAACAGAGTGAAACGGCAACCTACAGAGTGGGAGAAAATTTTTGCTAACTATGCATCCAACAAGGGATTAATATCCAGAATATACCTAGAACTCAAACAATTATACAGTAAAAAAACAAATAACCCAATTAAAAAATGGGCAAAGGACCTGAACGGACATTTTTCAAAGGAAGACATACAAATGGCCAACAGATACATGAAAAAATGCTCAACATCACTAGTCATCAGGGAAATGCAAATTAAAACTACATTGAGATACCACCTCACCCAAGTTAGACTGGCTATAATCAAAGAGACAGTAAATAACAGATGCTGACGAGGGTGTGGCAAGAAGGGAACACTCCTACACTGTTGGTAGGACTGTACATTAGTACAAGTACTATGGAAAACAGTATGGAGATTTCTCAAACAACTACGCATAGATCTTCCATATGATCCAGCAATCCCTCTTCTAGGTATATACCCAGAGGAATGGAAATCATCAGGTCGAAGGGATACCTGCACTCCCGTGTTCATCACAGCTTTGTTTGCAATAGCCAAGATATGGAACCAACCTAAATGTCCATCGATGGATGAGTGGATAAGGAAACTGTGCTATATATGCACCATGGAATACTACTCTGCCATAAAAAAGAATGAAATACTACCGTTTGCAACAACATGGATGAACCTCGAGAAACTTATGTTGAGTGAAATAAGCAAAGCACAGATGGATAAATACCACATGAACTCACTCATATGTGGGAGCTAAGAGAGAAAGAAGCAAGGAAAGAAAGACCACAGTGGTGCGTTGGACTTGCAGACAGAGAGAACATACCTAAGGATACAAAATGGAGTGTGGGGGAAAGGGGAGGGGGAGGGAGGTTGGGGGATAATTGGGTGGGGGACACAGGGTACAGAAATAATTTCTGGTAATGCATATGCTGCCAGTAGGAGTCTGGCCCTCACATCATGGGCACGAGGAGTGACAATTTGCTTTGTATCTCATGAATATTCCTTAAAAAAAAAAGGAGTAGGGGAATACAAATGAGTAGAGATTTACCTGTTTAACAGTTGCATTTCTTATCCTCCATCTTACATAATAACGAATAGGAATCACAAGCGTGTAGAGTACGTGAAGGCAGGCAAATCCCAGAGCCACCAAGCCAAGCTGCTTTCTGCAAAGCATCCAATGGTCAAGCCAGTCTGGGAATCGGTGATATTTCGTACCTCGGTACAGCTGCAGAATGGCAGCAATAACACCAGGGAGGTAAACCAAAGCAAGAAGTATAAGTGCTGTTACTGGAAAGATACGATTTGGAATGGTAACAGCCATGAGAAATGTATTATCTTTCTTTTCATTAACATAAGGGTAGATTACATCTCTTATAACACAGTAGACAAAGAAGAAGACACACAGTGCAGCAGACAAATAGAAGGGGAACCTCCACATTGGAAATAATTGCAGGGGGTAGTTTTCAATTTCTTTGGCTGCCATTAGAGATCCTTGATCCAATGGAGTAAGTCCAAGAGTACGAGCAATATCCATCACTCTTTGCTTGGCTTCGCTGTCATTTCCACAGACAAACACCTAGGTTAAAAATAATTAATTCTGTATTTATTCTTTTTCTTTACTTAACAATTATTTTGAAAGTCTATTTAAACACCATGCAGAACAATGACATGTAATAGTGAATTGTTTTTCAGACAAGGATGCAGAATCAACATACTTAACAATATGACATTTTATACTTGCATGTGCACTGCATAGCTAGTACCAGGGTTTTTAGTCAAGGGTGGTTTTAGGCACATCACGCTGATATAAGACATGGTTCTCCACAGTGTGAGTAGTTTGATCTTTCTTCCATATTCATTTCTGGGTGCCACATCACTTATGATTGCTTCTAATCTCAGTGCATAAATGGGACCAGTTTCACACAAGGTAATGGGAGTGGAAAAGGATGTTTACGATATCCACCAAGCTCTATTAGTTTCTAGTACTCACAAGAGTCTCCAGAGACTGATGCCACTGGGTTCCACCGAACTAAAAGCCGAGGGTGCAGACAGTGGGAAATGAGTCCCAACAAGTGGCTACCCTACTTAGTCAAACTCAAGAAAATTATTCATGGCACATATTAGCAAAATGAAATATTTAGTGGGCATATTATTTTGGAATTGTATTTTGGAATGTTTGAGGTAAGTGCACATTAAAAGCTTCACTTTTTAAAGATAGAGTGCAAATTCATTGAATCCTACCTGCCGACTTGCATCCAGCGCTCCTGACTGGAGGGCCCAGGCTGAGATGGTGTTAAATGCTTTAACCACATGGGCTCCTGGCACCAACTGAGCAAGGTATTCTGCATTAGATTCTGGATACTGATTGATTTTGAGGTTGTTGCTGATGTCTACCAATATTTTCCCATCGAGGACCTCAATTAGTTCTGTGAGAAAATCATAATGGTCTCTGTGGATTGCTACGATTATGATGTCAGACTTCTGGGCTGCTTCTGAATAGCTCAAGACATCTGCACCACTGGGCAGTATGCTGGTCATCCGGGGATTTCGACTTCCAAACACAACAGAAAAGCCACACTGGAGCATTTTAAATCCCAGGGATCTTCCATAATCCCCAGTTCCAAAAATACATATAGTCTCTTGCTTTACTGAAGAATTCATAGTAAGAGGAAATGCATCTGTACCATTTTTCTCCATAACTGAAAAATAATAAGACAAAAGCCCAATAAAACATGAATGCTCTGAGCATGGAAAAATTAATGACAATTATATCCAGAAAATAGTATAATAAACTGATGTTCTAATCTTCTAATTATCTCAAGTATATTCCCCCAATTTGGGAGGAGTAAAAATTGTCATATATATTTTCATGTGTGTCTTATTTAACAAAATCGTTGGTGAAAAACTAAAAAACCAAGACACTTACTGGTGGATATTTTAAACTATGGACATAAATTACAATGATATTGCATTTATTGAACACTTATAGTTCCAAAAGTTCCCAGAGCAAACAAACTCTGACAAAGAATGCAATACTGACGAAATTATGGACCAATTCACTTATGTTTAGTGATATGAAAATCCTAAATAAAACATTGGCAAACAGTCCAGCAGTTTATGAAGAAGTGAACAATGATTAAATGGGACTTATTCTGGGAATATAAAGATTAGTTCTTAAATTCGGTATTAGAAAATCTATTAATGTAACTTCCCATATTAGAAGATTTAGGGAGAAAAATATGGTCAAATCTATGTATGCTAAATGGATAAATGTTAAAATGCAGCATTTATTCTTGATTTATAGTAAAAGAGTAACAGGTAGATATTTTCTTAACATACAAAAAGTATCTATCTCAACCTAAAATCTAGTATCATGCTTAAAAGAGAATTACTAGAAACATTCCCAATAAAGTCAGAAACTAGACAAATACGTTTGCTATGATCACTTTCGTTATTGTCCTGGAGGTTCTAGCTAACACAATTAGACAAGAGAAAGAAATGAGAGGTATAGAAATTCAAAAGAGGTTGCAGACGATCAAGTTGTAGACTTGGAAAACCCAAAAAAGTCAACAGAAAAAGTACCATACATACAAAAACAATTCAACATCTTGCCTGGGAAACCAATTAAAATCAACATTCTTCATATATTCTAAAAACAAACCAGTTATAATATTTAATAGAAGAAAAGACCGTTATAGCTGCAACAAGATAGAGACAATATGTAGCAAGGTAGCAAGATATGTGCAAGATCTATATGAAGAAAACTTTTAAATACTCTTAAAAATCAGAGAAGATATTTATATGAGTGGAAATGTGTAGCATGTTCTTACATGGGAAGGCTCAGCCTCACAAAGATGTCAGTTTTTCCTAATTTAACCCATAAATTCTGAAAAGTAGGGTAATGAATTGCAGGCCAGTCCTATTAAATATTGAGAATATTATACAGCTAAAATAATTAAATATTGTGGTACTATAAAAGAAATAGAAAAAGTTCAATGGATTAGAGTAAAAAAAATCCAGAAATGCACCCAAACACATTTGACAAAAATGGCATCTCAAGTTAATGAGAAAAAAATGGATTGCTCAATAGCTAACACTGGAAGAAAAACCCGAATCTCTACCTCATACTCCACCCCGAGGTAAATTCTAAATACATCAAGGTTTAAATTTTTTTAAAAAATGAAATGTCCACCTTAAAGGGAGAAGACCTTATTCTTAATTACTAAATCATTAAAGGATAGATGAATAAAATGTAATTACATAAAAATAAATGACTCCTGCAAAGCAAAAGCCACTGTAAGCAAAGTCAGAAGATAATCAACAATCTGGGAAAAATATTTTCAACTCACACAAATCAATAAGAAAAAAACAATTGTCTATTAGAAAATTGGGCAAAAAATATGAGCTGACAGTTTATCCTAAAGAAATATAGATTTTAATCTTACCCAAAATAAAAGAAACACAAGTTAAAACTAAACTGAGATATTGTTATGAACTATGTGACTGTATGAGGATACTTCAAAAAGTTCATGGAAAAATAGTATTAAGGTAATATAAATCTTTCCATGAGTTTTTTGAAGTACCCTCCGAGTACTTTTTTAATATTTGCAAAGTTTAAATCAAAAACAAAGTTTCTATGATCAAATACAATAATCTAGGTTACCATGTATATTTTTGAAGAGTATTATTTCTCTTTCAGTATTGAATTTCTCTCAAAATTCTTTTCTTCCCAACATTTAGTTTAAGCTTTCAATTAATCTCTTTTTTTTTTTTGAAGCGGGGAGGTGTGTCTTCAGTGCTGGGAAGAGCACTGACTATGACAGACTAGGCAGTTGATAAATATTTGTTGAGTAATATTAGAAGGAAGGAATGTAGGAGTTGGAAGTAGCAGTGTTCACTCTATGGGCCAGACACACCGTGAGATAAATAAAGAGGAGACTGGATGATTAAAGAGTAACCGATGGGGAAGAGTAAGGGAGAAGGAAAGAAGTGGGGGAGGACATTGTAAGGACATTACTACTTTCACCCAAATGGGTTGAAAGTAAAACTGAGTGAATTTGATTTTTCAAACCAGACATAATTACCATTCAATCGTAACATGGTGAATTTAATGCAGATTGCATAGCATATATGAAGTGTGCACCTTTTTACTGGGGTTTCAGAAATTTGCCCTTTCCATTTTAGCCTTTGGAAAAACACTTGTATTTCTATCTGAGCTTTTTCAAAGTTGCGTACTTATATCACAAGCTGATAATACGGGCTTCGTAGGTAGGCAAAAGTCATGCGAGAAAGGGACAAGACATACAGGACTTTCCTGTTCTTCTGCAGAAACTCTGAATAGTCTAATTAAACACAATGACTGAATCCTTTTATAAAACAGCTGGTGACTGGATATCCTGAACGGGTGCCAGAGAAGGTCATGACCACATATGGGAAAGCACCTGTAGATGATCAGGGCCCTTCATATGCAAACACAGATACACCTTTGAAAAGTTCTTAGTAGCATCTACAAATGTAAACTAGTACAGCAATTTACATTCTGTTGGTTAGTTGCTAATCAGGTAACAATTAGTTTTATAACTCGAACCCTCAAACTGCCAAATGATGCCTTAATCATTCTTCTCTGTAGAACTGGTTTGTGTGTTGAAAGAATGTCTGACTGCCTAGGCCCTCACTTTTTCTCAGTTATTTTATCCTGACATATTTCTTTTCCCTTTCTCACAATGAATGAACATATAAAAGCAAAATAAAAACGTGGTTTCCTGAGTCCTGTAATCAGATGGACTATTTCTTTATTGAAATATTCTCATTTGGATTATTTTAATCATTGCAAAGAGATTGTGATTCTAGATGCTATAGACATCATTTTGACTATTTGGCCACTACATTGATTTACTTTAACCTGCCATAAACTTTTTAAAAAAATTAAGATATTGACTACATGGTACAATTTTTTTGCTCCACCTTTTACTAGCAATGTGACCTTGGGCAAGTTATTCAAACTCTTTGTGCCTCAGTTTCATCATGTTTAAAATGAGAAACTGATAATACCTACTTGAGACATATTATGAGGATTAGATTAATCCATTAATTCATTAATTCATACAGTTCTTCAGGCATAGTAAATACCCAATAAACTGGCAATTAATAGATTCTTTAGTAATATATTAATTATCTAATCAATATAATCTATTAATTATCTAGTAATTGTAATCTTTATATGAATTCTATAAATTAAGGGTTAATTATGCTTATATAATTGTCATTATTGTAAATATGTAAAAATTATTGCAACTAGAGTTCAATGACTCTTAAGAAGCTCTTACTGTTCCTACTTATTTCTTATAAAGAAAACCCCATATGAAATGGCTTCAGAGCATAGAAATTTGTCAAAACACAGATGTAAAAATAGCTCAAGTGTAAACTTCTCTCATTTATAATTCTTTCACATTTTAATATTTCCCTCTTAAAATGTAGCTTGGCAATTCAATGTAATGTAGTTGGGCTGTTACCCCAACCATTAAACTTTATTTTCAATCTTAAAACCTCAGAGACATCACTGAACAAATTGAAGATGCAAAAATGGTAAGGAGATATTAAGATATCACTGGTTGACTTAATAGAAAGAAATATAGTTATTCATTGGGCAGTTGCTCTTTGTGTAAGTTATGGAAATTCAAAGGTTGATAATATTTTGGCTACCTCTTGAGCTCCATTCTAAATCCCCTGGTTCTATTTCCAGTTTCCGGGCAGTTAGGAGCTCTGTTCAGCTTCCACTGCCTAACAGAGGCTTACTTTGGGGACCCACATCTTGTCTCTCTTGATTCTTGTCCTGGGGCTCCTCTGAGACCTGTGCCTGTTTAGCATTTAGACATGAACAACCCATAGGGGCACCACAGACCAATGACGAGCAGGACTCCATGGATAAGTGCTTCCTCGGCCTTCTGGCACACAGCTCTGACATATTTCATAAGGCTCCTCAGAAAGTCTCAGTTGATCAGAGCACCAGTCTCTGTAGCAGTGGCCAACTTGACCTGCGCTTCTACGGCCTTTCCCATGTTCCCTGGCTATGTCCCCCGCTGCTCACTCCTAGTTCCCTGGAATCACTTCCTTAACTATCTGTACACAAGCCTTTGTTACAATCTCTGCTTGCATGATAACCCAGGATAATAAAATATTTTAATCATTTTTTAAGAAAAAATATTATCAGACTTAAGGCTATCATAATTAGGATGAAGAAAAAAATAACATGTAAAAAAGAAAAACTAATTCTTGGTAAGAATTTAATTCTGAACTCCTGGAAAAACATCCTAATAATAGGAGTTTGTAAAAATGGGATGTTTGCATACTCTCAACCACAAGGGAGATCAAGCTGAGGGTGCATTTTCCAGTAAGTACAAGCACTGTATGTATGTATATATATATATATACATAAGAGTAAGAGTATATATATATAGTGACTATACCCATTTCAGACTTCTTTTTTAACTCAAAATTGCTATGTGTAAACATGGATTCATGGAGGTAGTAAGGTTTCTTGTTCAAAGGCTTAAAAACATTTCCTAGTCCTACTTAACTCTTGGATGCAGAATTGAAGGAATAAAGAAAATAATAAGAAAGATGGTAAGCAGGAAGAATTATTAAGGGACAGATGGGTTAAAATAGTTAAAACATAACATAGTGGTCTTCTCTCCTTCCT